TACTAGCCTGTTTGACCTTTTTTGGGTGCACTCCTGTCACTCGAGTTGAACTCGAGTTGAACCTTGGTGTGAAAGTTGTCGCCTGCTGGCGCGGTGACCAGGTGATTTGGGCACCCAGGAGCACGTGACCGCGTGTTCAACCATGTTCGATTGGGAATAAAGGAGGAACGCTGCATCGCAGCCTTTTCGGACCAAAACCAGTCGACTCAGCGTCCAAAAGACTACAACATATGGGCCAATCGCGGTCATCCGTGCTTTTATAAGAACGAAATGGCGCTTTTAGTGAGATTTTGCATACAAATCCCCATCTAGTAGGGCGCAGTCACCCAGTTTCGGTGGAAGTGCGCGAGTTCGATTGGGATTCAAGTAGGAAGGGAGCGTCGCAGCTTCCTCGGACCAAGACCATTCGACTCAGCACCCCGAAGACTACAACTGGTGAAAATTTGATTTTAGGGTATACTTCCCCTTTAACTTCCCCTTTAACCCTTTACCGGCAAGTTACTTTTGTATATGAAATCCATAACATTTAGAACGATACCAATAACTCACAACGAGGCCACATTTTGTATGTGCAAGTTATGTTTTCTTGGAAGTCTAGTACTACTTCTTGACCATGGAAAACTTTATTTTCTCATACCACACACATACGCTGCTAAATTGGCACCTCAACGTCTAAACACGGAAATTGTACACATGCAAATCGTCAGAGTTCCGACATTGACATGATACTGCCAAAACAAGTCGACATCGGAGCGGAAACAAATGCCATAGCCATCACAAACCTCAGTGGCCATGCCTCGCTCGCAAATGAGAGCAGCATCGCCCCAGAATCGCTGTCGGATAGCTCCGTAAGGTCGCACGCAAGCCGCGCTGCGCTGCCGTCACTCAGGTACGTAGAAAGTCGATGGGCTAAAATTCCGTCTCTGGGAGACTGTCGACACGGGGATCGCTCTCCATGGCTTCCCCACCATAAGCACCATCAGATTCTTCCAGGTACATCACGACGACATCGTCTTCAGCGGCTGGCGCTCCCCGTATTTGCGTGAGAATTTACTTGGCGTGCGCACCGCTCCGTAATTTGAAATTCGCTTGCATCGGAGGCTGGAACGAAGTATTTATCTATCTGTCGTCGGTCCTAGAGCGAATGACTGCTAGGTCGTCGTCGGAGAGGTCATCCGAGGATGAAAGGAACTCACTGCGCAAGAGAAAATGCACTGACGATGTTTTGACGGAGGCGGACGGCATTGTCGGCGCGCGTGTATTTCCGTAAGTTTTCGATCGCGCAGTTCTCAATGAAATCAAATGGGACACGCGTGGATCTCTTCAGCTACCGATAGGATCATGCCTAGGCTGTTTGAGGGCCACGGGAAATCCCCGTGGGCTGATGCTTCCCGTCATGCCAGGCATGGTTTTGTATGCCTGTCGAATGCGTCAACGACTTACGTTGACGCATTCAAGTACTATGGGGCTGCCGGGAAAGGGTTAAAGTATATCGCGGATTTTTTGCTGATTTACCGGTATACCCCCAAAAAAATCTTTTCGTTTCACGCCTACCTCGTTACCTTTCAGTTTCACGTCAAGCAATCTGTTCACGCCACATGGCCAGCCATAATCATTTCATTTGCATGTACGCGCTGTAGCCAGCCATATGGCATATGGCTGGCTATACATGCAAACTATTAGTGACTTGATTGAAGAAAAATTTAAAAAAAAAAATTATTTTTTACAAGTCCAGGCGAGCTGCTAGTGCTACTAGTGAGTACTGCACTCAGTAATGGGAGCTGACTTCATTTTCGGAGAAACACTACTGGAGTATCATCGTAGTAAAAGTAATATTGGCGATAGCATCTAGGAAGGATCGCTAACCTAAAGTGAATTAAGGAAAGGCCTTGCGCGGCTGCTCTACGAAGTGTTGAAGAAAGACTCAAAGTTGCTGGACGAACAACTCGTTCCGGTTGGTGCCGGAAAAGTTGGCCCCCAACGATGGTGTTTGGTGAATCATCAAGCATTATTTCTTGTAGCAGTGTTCACCGAGAAAGGAGGACGCTCTAGCTGCTGCTGTTGTCCGTTTCATCCACGGTGGATGTTAGCTGCACCGCGCCTATTGTGTTTTAGTATTCCATGGGCACACATTAGCATTCTGAGCGAGTGTGGAGCCACAACTTACTTTGGACAGCGTTGCATTGTCCACGAGCGCGAACTTCAGCAGTTACTCTTCATCCTACATGTAGATTTTGGAGTATACACGGCCTTGTCACGACAGCGACAGCTCTACAGAGTGTTCAAGTGAGAAACATTAATTTCAATTATTGGTGGACGAACGTATCGCTGGTGCCGAAAAACGTGGCTTGCACCGATGGTGTTTGGTGGATCATCAAACAGAGTGTCCAGCAGTGTTCACCGAGGAAGGAGAACGCAATCGCCACTACTGCCGTCCGATTCATCCAAGTGGGCGTTAGCTGAGATGTCCGACAAGGATGTCCGACAAGGTCTCCGACAAGGTTAACGGCCAAGTACGACAGGCACTTAAGAAAAACGGCATAACGGCACGCCTCGTTAACCCTCGACCCCCAACCATCCAAGAACTCACGAAGAAAAAAGGAGAACCGGAAAAATGCAGAATGCGCGAATGCCCTATGTTCAGGAAGAAGTGCACCTGCAGATTTGCCGTGTACGAAGCTACATGCCACCTTTGTCACGAGAGATACGTCGGCTCTACTGGGAGGCAAGTGCACACCCGGGCCCAAGAGCACACAAATGCTGCAAAATCTCATGACAAGAAGTCTGCATTCGGTGTGCACTACGCTAGGGAACACCCGAACGCCACCCCAGAGATTATGTACGAGATTGCTCAGCTCACGGAGAGGGATGAACTGAGGCTCCGGATCCGTGAGGCATATGCCATTCGCGACAAGAAACCAACTATCAACAGAAGAAAAGAAGATATGGGAACTGGATTATTGGCATAACTTGCCTACCACCATCCACTATCTGCCAACGGTTTGAACCCATCCAAAAATGATCGCAATAGAAGAAGAACACCCGCACCCGGTGCTCTCTCCCCCCCCCCCCCCCCAACACACTACACTACCAAAAAGCTTGCAAACGCACACGCATACACACACACACCTCTTTGTATATACTGCTGCTATTGCTGATATTATATCACTAGATGAATCACAACCTCCTGTTTTAGTCCCACCCACCACCTCAAAATATTCCTGCACCCCTTGCCTATAGCGCACACCTTCTGTCACATCTTCCTTCCACGCATACCAATACTCACTACCTTACTCTTTTTCGCACGCACACACACACACACACACACACACACACACACACCTCTTGCCAATTCTACCCACCACATACACCAACACCTATTGCTGATCCATACCCTACCTAGACTCTCTCCCACATTTATCAACCCGACACTTACATTACGCCACTCCACCTTCTACGCACACCAACACCTTCTACCAACCTACACTTCTACCCGAAGGGTGTACCCCTTCCCACCTGTATCGACCCGCACCTAACCTTCACCATTAACTTAGATACATGTATTTCCCACCTTCACCTTCTCACCTCACCTCATCTCACCACCATCACTCCCTATTAACCCGTGCCACCACCCAAAGCCCTCCATTCTTTATCCACTGACGATGTTGTTCAGAACAACGAAACGTCTGGAGAAGTATCGTAAAAAAAATTCTATCGTTATTAAATGTTATCAAATATACCACTCTTTGGTCTAGAAAGAATACTTTTCGATATTACAATGAGAGTGAATAATCAACGGCTTGTCCACCAACTCGCTGGCATTATAGTCCCTTTTTTCCAGGTGGCATAATGCTGGCATTAAAACACCATTTCGCACGCAAAATTGGCATTACAAGCATAATTGCCGGTCGACAATGGTGCCATGCATGAAGCTGGCTAGGTCCAGTTCCGAAAATCGTGCATCTGAACCCGTCCGGAGACTTGACGTTGCAAATCAACCTTCTCAGTGGATTGTTTCAGACAACATGCTCACTGCTGTTTTTAAACAGTTTTTTCTTCTTCTACGCTTTGGCCTTGATCCAAGACGGCCTTCTTAAATCGACTTTTCCAACTTTCAAACTGGCATTTTAGAGCAGTGTGAGCATTATGTGGCATTATATCTTCATATTATGAGCATTGCCTTTAGCATTATCGCAGCAAATAACTAGCATCACCCGCCCATGCCTACCAAGAACAGAAACATTGGCAAAACTAATTCGTAGTTACCCTTTGGTGTGGCATCATCGATTTAGTTTGGACACCACCCGATTGCTTGACGTGAAAGGTAGCGAGGTACACGGACGTCTCTTACACGTGAAACGAAAAGATTTGGCAGGTAGTCAGCAATAAATTAAGTGACGGTCCCTTTAGTCCTAGTACCCTTCGTAACGCTGGTAACCCTGGTCTACGTCATTGTATCAGGTTCTCTTGTCATTGTACATAGATCCATCTCGACTCGAGCCTAGTATCAGTAGCAGATGCTAGGCTGAAAATGGAGGTAAGAGGCAGCATGCAGTGATCATGGCTGCAACAGACACAGGGACCAGAGAAGAGTACAGCAATGATAGCTGGGAACATCAACAATGACGTCACACAGTGATTGAGTGTTTTTAATAGTAAAGCACTGCAATTAGAATTGGAGGTGGATGGGTGAAGACATGGTGGTGATAACAGCAGTCTCAGCTGCTGGGACACCAAAGGGAGGTGGATGGGTGAAGACATGGTGGTGATAACAGCAGTCTCAGCTGCTGGGACACCAAAGGGAGGTGTTCAACAATTTAAACAAACAAAACATACTCAAATCTCAGACAGCCAGCTGTTTCCACCTTGTTATATCTCATCAGCAGTCAGCCGATGACAGCAAAAAGAGTAATGCAATGTCATTTGTATTTACTAGCATAGAACCGAGAAATTCCCAGCCTATTTCAACGCATTTACCGCCTTCTACTACTAAGTTCTGGTAAGATCTTCAGTCTTGAATTTGGATACAAAAATCAAGTTTGCAAAGATATAGGTTATGCTTCTATGAAATCAATGTGGATTGGCTCAATGCACAGAGGCATGGTGATCTCAATATCGTTAGTCAAGTTTCAGTAAAGGCTAACGCAAGCGTGTCTTGAAATTAATATTCTTATTGCATTCATGGCGGGAATGAGAGGAGCTTCAAAAACTTCCCTGATTGTCTGCCTTGTATTGAAAAGTCGTAGTTTATCAAGTTATTTTCAAAATTTACTAGCTGCAATTCAAAGTAAATAGCATGTGAGTTTCAAGTGTACTTCAAGACATTAGAAACATCACTGCTATGTGTAAATTCATGATGAAGGAAAATGACACGGGCTGATCACAGTAACACAGGCCAACTGGCAATGAAAACACACAGCGCCCATGATGCCTAGGACGAACGCTCCGGTCACAAGAAGACATCAGGCTCCACGACGCTGACCGGAGGGCGGCCAGGCTGCTAATCTGATCCGGCCGAGGCACTGAGCTGCTGGGGGTCGGAGAGCAGACGCTTGCCCCCCCCCCCCCTGCCATCTCTGGACAAGGCCTCATCTCCTGCTTATTGTTTCAAGTACTTGGCATTCCTGGCAAACAAACACAATACAGGTCAAACAGCAGCAGAGTGAACTTCTCATTGTCATGGTACAGTGCACAATGGATGAGCAGAGACCCGGATGAAAGACAGAGACGGAGCACAGCTGCAACACACACACACACGTTTCTAATAGAACTAGGCTAACTTTTCTTGTAGCTCAACAGTTCACTTGTTACTGTAAAATGGTAAAATGGCTAATAATAACGTCAGTACCGTAGGTCAGTGTCATGCAATGTTATCGTATGAGCTGATTGTTTAGTAACTGGTGGTGTTAGTGGACCTTATAGTGTAACTTGTAGTTCCTTGGTCCTTTTATTTTTTATAAATTAATCCTTGGCTCTCCATCCGAGGTCCAATTTAAGCGCAGGTGATATTTTAGTGATTTTAACGAAAGGAGTGTTTTGGCTAAAGTTTTGCCGCGTCAATTGAAATTTAGCAGGTACTACTGTACAGTAGTAGTCATCTTCTTTTTCTTAAAACTCTGAAACTCGGGTCACTAACATATTTCATTGTCAATTGGTCCTGATTCAGAGAATGCTAATTTCTTTACCCGTTAAAAACTATACGTTCTACAGTATTAGGCCAATTATCAGATGTTTTGATTGGCAAGTATTTAGCAACTTAGCTTGAACATAGCAAGATCTGTGGTTCAGTGAACAACAATCCCCCCACCACCCCAAACCCAAACCAACCGACCACAACCCGAAGGTGCAGAGACCACTGATACCCGTATACACACATGTACCCTTTACATACAGGTGATCATTTTTACCATAAATGGATCTTTATACACAAGTGGTCTAAAGGCCGCCGCGGTCACACCCAAACAAGCCACATTGGGCTTGTTATCGCTGGCGCTCAGCTGGCTTGTGTGCTCCCTGTCGACCGGTCACAACAGACATCGAGTGCAAAGCTTGAATGGCTTGTTTCTTTTGCCCGCCAAATTTTGATATCTCGAAACGCACCAACGTTCTCAAGCACACAGGTGATCTTTATAATTTATACATAGGTAATCTTTACACACTGTTGTGAATTCCAGCAGAAATCCAAGAGAGCTCGATACCGGGAAGGTAGAGCCGTGACACACTACAGTCCATTCATCGGAAACTGGCCCGCTGGCTTTTTAAATCGGATTTGGGCCGAATTGAGGATTAAAAACCCACTTTAAATCTCAAAAATTTGGGTTTTGGATCTGCTTCTCCATACATTTTGCCATGGCATACCTGTCCTAATTTGGTAAAACCTGGCTGAATTTCAATTTCCCTGTTCTTGGACTTTTCTGGCCTCAAATGTGGCAAGGAGTAATTGCACGGGTCACACAATGCAGGATGTACTGTTGTTTTCACGATATCTACAGCTATGTGAGAGAGACACCAAAAAGTTAGGGTGCCAGTTTCCAATGAATGGACTGTAGTCAGGACAACAGATGGCTTGATCAGTCAAAACTTAAAGTTTCATGCCATCTCAGGCACTCATCAGGTGATCTTTATAAATACATCAAGGTGGTCATTATACATAGGTGGCCTTTATTCGAACGGGGTCTTTATTCGAAGGGGGTCTTTATTCGAAGGGGTCTTTATTCGAAGGGGGTCTTTATTCGAAGGGGGTCTTTATTCGAAGGGGGTCTTTATTCGAAGGGGGTCTTTATTCGAAGGGGGTCTTTATTCGAAGGGGGTCTTTATTCGAAGGGGGTCTTTATTCGAAGGGGGTCTTTATTCGAAGGGGGTCTTAATTTGAAACACAGGTGATATTTTTATACATAGGTGCTATTTATACACAGGTGTGCTGAAACCATGGTAACATGATCTGATGCCTGAACCTTCTTCCACTGCAGATCACTAAACTATCCCTGCCACTCCCCCCCCCCCCCCCCCACTCCGCCCCCCCCCCCCCCCCCCGCCACACACACACACACGCGCGCACACACACACACACACACACACCCACACACACACATGCACACACATGCACACACATGTACACACACACACACACACACACTCCGCCTGCAACTCACTTGATTGCCCTGAAAAGACGGCGCCGACTATGCTTGGCATTATTAGCCAGCAGGTTAAACAGCTCTTGGACGGTTGTGCTCGGACGTTGCATCAGATACAACAGGATGCAGAAGAGGTTGTTCTCTCCTTTGCCTGGGCCTCGGATGTTACCTTTATTCATTTTGTGAAACGACTTCAGCACGTTGGGGTAGTAGTTCGTCAAGTCTGGAGCCACTAGCTGCACAGCCGCCTTACCGCAGTTTGCTACAACATCACCAGAAGAAAGGGCAGAAAAGAACAATGGCACTGTTTTTTAGCTGCTGACTTTTCATACTTCTAGCCTGATGTTTATCTCCCTCACTTCTTTGCCCATAGAATTGCTGTCTTAGTTATTTTTGCTTTACTCCATGTAAGAGACCATGAAGAGAAGGGAACGAAAACGTTTGTTTCTAAAATTCCCTAGTGTTCATTTGGACGGTGTGGATTGTGTGCATGCATGTGCTACACTGAAGAACAACCAGCTTCATTTAAGAACAATGAGCTTCATTTAACACGAAAGCGTGGTAGCGACCTTGGTGATAATCATATAAGAAAGTTAGTTGCTCCCACACTGAAACAGTCAACCGTGAGTCAGTCACGGGTCAAGTCAGGTCGACGGGAATAGCGCTGCAGTGTGGGAGCAACCAACTTCTATACAGCTTCATTTAACGTAAACATAATTAACCCTTTACCGGCAAGTGTATTTTGTATATGAAATCCATAAGATTGAGAAGGATGCCAATAACTCACAACGAGGCCACATGTTGTATGTGCAAGTTATGCTTTCTTGGAAGTCTGGTACTACTTCTTGACCATGTAAAACATTATTTTCACATACCACACACATACACTGCTAAATTGTCACCTATCCGTCTAAACAGGGAAATTGTACATAATGCAAATCGTCAGATTCCGACATTAATATGATACTGCCAAAACAAGTCGACTTCGGAGCGGAAACGAACGCCATAGCCATCACAGACTTCAGTGGCCGTTCCTCGCTCACAATTGAGAGCAGCATCACCCCAAAATCGCTGTCCGATGGCTCCGTAAGGTCGCGCTTAAGTCGCGCTGCGCTGCCGTCACTCAGGTAGGTAGAAAGTCGATGGCCTAAATTTCCGTCTCTGGGAGACTGTCGACACGGGGATCACTCTCCATGGCTTCCCCATCATAAGCACCATCAGATTCTTCCAGGTGCATCACCCGATATTTGCGTAAGAATTTACTTGGCGTGAGCTCCACTCCGCAATTTGAAATTCGCTTGCATCGGTGGCTCAGTGGAACGAAGTATTTATCTATCTGTCGTGGGTCCTAGAGTGAAGGTCTGCTAAGTCCTCGTCGGAGAAGTCATCTGAGGATGAAAGGAACTCACTACGAAAGAGGAAATGCACCTGACGACGTTTTGACGGAGGCAGACGGCATTGTCGGTGCGCGTGTATTTCTGTAAGTTTTCGATCGCGCAGTTCTCAATGAAATCAAATGGGACACGCGTAGATTCTCTTCAGCTATGGATAGTGTACAGAACTATCACATGTCACATGTTGCACGTTGATACTATTAGTGTATTGTAGTTACGATTTGTGTACAGAACTGTCACATGCTGCAAGGGCAGTATTGTTAAGACCTGCTAGGTCGCTTGCAATATTGGTGCGGTGCGTATTACTGCTATGCATTTCGCGAGTGTAATATTTATTTGTTAGTCTGTTAGATCTGTTACATCACGAGTGCATATCTGTTACGTCTACGTCGACACATTTTACGATACAGTAATTGCTATGCGTGTTCGTACCGCGACATGTTCACGAGCGGAATATCTTGTGAATCGTGCTAATGTATTAAAAGTAGAATTGTTGACACACTAATTTGGTTGCAATGTACATGTACTTACTAGTACTTGATCCGTTGCATTATCGCCATCCGCGGCAACTCCGCTACGATCTACTTGGCGAAACTTACTCTCGCTGACAGGGTGTGCTGTCACCCTGTCGCTGGGTGCAAGCACCCCTTGACAGACACTGTTTTCCAATTCTTTAGTCTTTCACTTCAGCAGATTGCTAGTTTCTGTTTTTTTCTGCATTCAAAATATTATTGCTTTTCTTTTTGTTGCACCTGCACTCCGCGCTGCACGTGCACGCGGACTTTGGCAGTCGCCATAATTAGTATCTCTATGGCTACGATGATTCATGCATTTTCTGTACGCTGCATTTTCTCTCTATGCCACGTCGTTGTGTACATGCATGCGGCGCAAGCCAATGCACGCACGCGGGCACGTTTCGCTGAGGACAGCGATTTGAGAGAGAGAGTTTGTCAAGTTTTGAGAGAATGGTGGTTAGCTTCTTGCCCAGATCAGTGACAGTTGTGGTTGTTGTTTGCCTTTGCGTTTTCCGGGTTTCATTCTCTGCATTTTTAGTTGTGTTCCATGTCTGCATGTTGTTTTCCGAGTGTCAGTTCACTACACCAGAGTTCGAACAATTAGAATTTAATACAGTCTTCACCGAAAGGGAAAGAGTCCTAAACAGATAGGATCATACCTAGGCTGTGTGAGGGCCACGGGAAATCCCCGTGGGCTGATGCTTCCTGTCATACCAGGTATGGTTTTAGCATGCATGTCATATGCGTCGTTTACGACTCATTCAAGTATGGTGCTGCCGGTAAAGGGTTAAATGATTGCGAAGGTGAGCTTAGCCGTTCCCCAGTCATGATCGGCAGAGGTAGAACACCAGTTCACACAACAAGTTGACAACAACCTGCATCAAGCAGTGAAGTCGACTTGGTTACGTATGCCCGTTGCAGCTGATGCTGCACTTGATGGGTTGCCAAGGCAAGCCGTGGCAATAAAAACAATAAAATACTCAGGAGTCAGTACCACTCTTAGGGGACATGACTTCAATAGGAACACTGGTTAAAAAACAATGTACAAGGACATCACCTCCTCATCAAAGTCTACACATACACGTGCATACAGTGACAAGAGGGTATTGCAAAACAATTCAAGCAGCTCAGGGGAACTCACTGGCTCTGAAAATAATTTCATCTGGTTGAACCACAGCATTATTTGGATGTCACTGTGAATGTTCAAATACAAAGGAAATTTAGGCCACCAGCCTCACGCTCATTTTCTCCGAAAATCGCCTGGAACGAACAGCTCCTACAGTCCATTCAGAAAAAAATGAACTTCTAGCTTTTGGCCATAAATGGGTCAAACGTTGAGTTTTTTTAGAATTTTTTTCTGCAATCCCATATGGAATCCTCTTCCAATTATGTTTCTGAAGTTTTTTTGTCCAAAAAGCAAGCCATAGCAAGAATAGGATTTCGGCCAGGTTTTGCCCCAAAAGCACTGAATTGGGAAAAACCATCAAAATCCAGGCCGTTTGACCCCGCCTGCAACAGTGCATTCTGCGGTTCGAACCCCAGTTCAGGCACCCTTTTTGGACCCTTTTTCAAATTTCAAAGTTCGCAGCACTGCACTGTGTACGATGAAATCACGAAAAATCGCCAAATACGGGAGCTCGCCAGAGCCAGGACCCATTTTTTTATGAATGGACTGTACACTCCCAGAGAATAAGGTTGACCCAAGAACTACTTCAAACTACGTTTACTCATAATTCGCTACATACACATGGCTAAAACTCTGCCGTGTCCTTGCTGGAGAAAATATATTCACCACCCGGCATTATTGAAATACACATGAATCACGGTGTCCAAAAGCAACCAACCTCTCTCGTCGCCTTCCTCCTCTCCACCGATGAACGGTTCAATCGAGCTAACAAACGCATGCCAGTCGGCAATCTGATCGAGTGTCTTTCCACTGCAGTGCAGAGTGGTATACAGAACAAAACAGCACGAAAAAAGAAAATAGAAACAGGTCCACGTTCTAGGTAGGGCCGTAACAGAAGAGCCTCCCTCGGTGGACAGTAGAGCCTCCCTCAGTGGACATGAGAGCCTCCCTCAGTGGACAGGAGAGCCCCTCCCTCCAATGGACACGGTACAGCGCGCAACCCCCCCCCCCCCCCCGTGGATAGTAGAGTGCCTGCCCCCCCCCCCCCCCCCCCCCCCCGTGGACAGTAAAGCCTTAAAATGCGACGCAGCATTATGTGATGAAAAGACACCCTCACTAAATGTGCAGACAGTGTGTTGTCAGTGTTTCCATTACCCTGAACGCTTCGTTAATGAAAGCGGCTGATTGGTCAGCTCCAAAGCAACGTATTTGACCTATTTTTTATAAACCTGCGAGGATAGCCTTCACTAACCCAATGGCACCAAGTGACATGAATTCAGCGTCGTGAACACCGCTTCCACCGGCGCTGTGATGACCGCTTCCACGAGCACCGTGACCACCGCTTCTACTGTCCACACTGGCACAGGCTTCTGCTGCAAGGCAACAGACGGCGTGCCATTGGAGTGGCCAAGAGACATGCACACGCACGCACACACACACACACACACACACACGCACACACACACACACATGCAGATCCAGCGAATACATGTACACACACACACACACACACACGTGGGCACGCACACACGGTTTGTTGCAGAAGTTTATTGTCGCCACTGAAACAAACATGGTTCATTTCATACTCGGACGGACCCCTCACTCCTCCAAAATGAACAAAGTTTGTTGGCCAAGTTACGATTTTCGACCCACCGGTTCCACGGACGATGTTCGCTTCAGGGCGACAAAATATGACAGCGACCCCATAGCAATTCTATGACGTATCGGCTGTGTTTACAGCCATTTCCACTAAGAAATAGGCCCTGAGGGCATTTATGAGAAAACCTTTTTCCCGACAAAGATCTAGCTAGTCATTAGTCCTATTCAAAGTGGTGGCGCTGGAAAAGTGACTGTCTGCCATTAATTATTGTGCTAAATTGGTCAAATGTGTATCTAAAATACACTATGAACACCCAGTCAGGTACATACCTGTAGTCGCTGCTGCTGATGAAGGTGCTACTGGTGATGCTGCTGCTGAAAGTGCTACTGCAGCAAGGACTGCTGCTGCTGCTACCAGTGCTGCTGCTATTGGAGATGCTACTGATGCTACTGAGGCTGCTGCTGCTGCTAACAGTGATGCTACTAGTAATGCCACAGCCGGTGATGCTATTAGTGACGCTACCACTGAGCCTGAAGCTGCTGAGGTGGCTACTGGCTGTGATGCTGCTACTGAGCCTGCCGCTGCTGAGGTGGCTTCTGGCTGTGATGCTGCTACTGAGCCTGAAGCTGCTGAGGTGGCTACTGGCTGTGATGCTGCTACTGAGCCTGTCACTGCTGAGGTGGCTACTGGCTGTGATGCTGCTACTGAATCTGCCACTGCTGAGGTGGCTACTGGCTGTGATGCTACTGGGCAGAGTGTTCCTTCTGATGCTGGTAAATGAGGATTGCCAGAAGAGGGATTTTCTGATCGAACAAAGGTGTAGAAAAATGGGTTACGGCATCAGGGTATCCGTCCCAGGATCCAACTGCAGTTACCCCAGCTCCCAGTGAAGGTAATACTTGCTACTAGTATGGGTGGCCAAATCAGATTGAATCTGATATAAGCTTCAATAGAACCATCAGGAGCACAGCAGCCCCCCCCCTTTTAGGGGGTGGGGGAGGGAAGGAGGGGGGGGGGGGGGGGTGCATGGCTGCATAATATGAGCCCCAGCCAGCAGAAACCTGAACATGTGTAATTTTTTCAAAAATTATTTTTTCCCTCGAAATTGTTTCTACACTATTAATCATTCAAGTTATCAAGTTTGGTGACAATCTGATAAGCGAAAGCATGGAAAATAGAGTTTGAAGTCAGAGAGGTCAAGATTCGGTACAGTTGGCGCAGCATCCATGCCTAGTGACTCCATGCAAGTTGATCCTACAGTTTCTGATTGTGATGTGGAACAGGTACATGTAAGTAAATAGAATGCAAGTCAGGCTTGCCCTCTTGGTACTGCAGCCTGTGCAGGCATGAGTAATTCAGAAGTCACAGTGACGATATTCCGTATACATCACTACCTTCTTTACAACACCAGAGTGCAAAACGATGATTGGTGGCTGGCCTTCCAAATTGTGTTCAGGGACCTCTGCGCTGGCAGTTTGGGCGTTGTCCCAAAGCTTGCCATACTGATAGATGTACTGATCAATACTACTGACATCCACTCGCTTGTACACTTTCACTCAGACCATGATTTCAGCATAATTGTATTTCAATGATATGAGCGAATGCTGGCGTTTTGTAGCACGTGAACATGTTGCCCCAAAGCGTTCAGCCGGTTTGAGTTTTTAGGGATCCCCTTTCTCAACACAGGCAGCAGCCAGCTTGGTGTCGTCTGGCAAGGAAGAGTACTGAGAATACTACGCTCTGTTTTGCGCCGTGAGAAGCCCTCCATCAGTGTCTGCAACATCATTGTTGTCGATATAGAAATACGGATCGCTCAGCGGGTCGACATTCAGCTTCTCCTCGCAGTCGCTATTTCTTCAGCACTGACTATCGTCGCCACCAGTATCCAGTGTCGATTTTATGAGGGCTCTTCGTTGCTATGCATATGACACTCGCCACTGCTGGACAAACTCAGCGAGATCGACAACAAAGAAATAATTCCGATCGCGAACTAACTTTCAGCGCTGCTTCGTACAGGCAGTCTCACGCTGACAACTCTGGACCTAAGTCTTTGTCGCGACACCTGTCGCCATCGCTGTGTCTAAACTCAACCTCCGTGTGACGAGCTCTCTCCTAGCGCTAAAATCAATTGACCAGAGACATTTGAAGACACTTGAAACTCCTTTGACAACAAAGACACCCACTCGATCGAAAAGAATCTTCAAAAGCCAGCTCACTGCGCGTCCCAAACTTTGACGTCACGTTTTGATGATTGATATCAAGTACACAAGTGCTGGTTTTCGCTGGCCGGGGCTCATATGTGTAGGATGGCTGGTGCATGTCATTCATAGTCATTATGTGCATGCTGAACCTAGGTCAAACTTATTAGGGGGGGGGGGGGGGGGGGGGGGCACGCACCCACTGTGCCCCAGTGCGTGCTACGTGCCTGACCATTGATTACACAAGAGTTAATCTAGCCAGAAGCATGGTGAACAGGTATGTATACCTCAAATAGAAAGTAGAATTATAGACCCTGAATTCAACAAAGGTGGCAGGTACAACAACACAACTCCAAGTAGCCGACCCCCCCCCCCCCCCCACAAACACAGACAGACAGACACAAAGCTGGATGTAGTCGAACCTTAAATGCAGGTGTAGCATATGCATACACACACACGTAGGCATGCAAACACGGTACCAGAGTACCAGATCTGTTTGTATTGTGCATCCAACTAACCTGAAGGAAGAGAGGCCGATCTCGGGTCAAACAGCTTTCCACATGCATCCTGCAGGTATTGCAAGAGACCAAGTACACGCAAGCACATGCCCACGCCCACACGCACACACACTCACGCATACACACACACACACACACACACATGCGCGCACACGCCCACCCGCACGCGCACGCACACACACACACATACATGTAAATCCACACGAGCAAAAGCACACATGCATGCAAACACGCACACGCACAAGCCATAATCGCTGAAGTCAGAGTAGGCTCAAAATGGTTATCTCCTCATTAACATGACGGGAATACGTGGCAAGTTTTATGAAAATAGAGACATGGTGCAACTTTGTGTGTGAAGAATTCTCGTCCTGAACAGAGATAAACAGAATTACAACAAGGCCTGGTGGAACTTGTCTCATGGTTCGTGCCCCCCCCCCCCCCCCCCCACAAAAACATATGAACTAAAGCTAGCGACAGGTGCTACTAACGTAACGTCTTTTGCATAGCTGCGGGAATTCAATCAGGTCAAGTTTCTCACCTGGTCAAGGCCCAGCCAGAACATGGCCTGCTCACGGATCATCTGTATATCCGGATTTGAACGTGTACACAGTGGGTAGTCTTCAGCCACTAGGGTGGAAGCGTCCAAGGCGTGCGCACAGCTTGGCGCGCGGCACGTAGATAAGCCATGCTGTAAACACTCCTCGCCCGATGTTTCTCCGCAGGGGCATGGCAGGGTGCTGATCACTTCGACCTGCAGGCCCCACTTCCGTACCACTGTGAGCACGATTGCCCGGACTTCATCCAGCGTAGACTTTCCGCTACCGCCGTGTCGGCCCTTGCACTCGACGTACACTTGTAAGCCGTAGCGTGTATAGTGCAGGTGCAGCCACGGCCAATCTCTGTTCCAGCGAAGGCGAACGCTGCACCGTGACAGTGTGGCAGACGAGCGCTTGTGTGACTTAAGCAGCACCTCCACCACGCATTGCCAATACAGGAACACGGGAAAGCGCATCAACTCATCGCAGTTTGTGTGCTTCAAGGACACGAAGACACAGGAACAAGGCGTCTGCGGGACCGTGCCCATGTCCTGGACGACTGCAGGTACAATAAACTCGTGCTCAGCAGACCTCTCATCCTGCACAATTACCAGGACTGAGAGCCATTCTAAGATTTCAAAAATGAGCTTGAACCCATCACTGCTTGCTCTGACTGCTTGCCACGCCTTTGCATGGTCGCAGTAAGACTGACCCTCGAACATCTTGTTGAGAGCTTTGCGTGCCAGGGACTCCGTCATGAACCCAGAACGATAGCGCTGCACTTCGTTCTTTGTGATGTACCGTTCAGGCTTCATGTAGACAAAGGCATTGACACAGTCCAGGATGAACTGGGGCTCCAGGATGACCGTGTCTTTCAGCTTGAAAGTTGGGAAGTACGCCAGGTGGCCTGCTTCGTGGCAGTACTTCAGCAGCAGCTGTACTTGCCGGTCACTGTAGTCATGTGGAACAGCCTTGACTTGCTTTGCTATGAACTTTGCCTCCTTGAAGGAAATCCAAGGCCACGAGACCTCCTGCTTGAGCGTGTGTATGGATATGCAGAATCGGAGCCATGGAACAGGGATGTTACGTTGGCTCTTCTGGCAGCGGTCGACGATGGCCTCTCTCAATCGCTGTAGCTCATCTGCTTGCGCTGCACTTCCAGTGGATCTGGTGTTGTCAATTTTAAAATGCGAAGTTTCGTTCCAGACAAGGTTCTGGTACGGGGTACCTTTTATCTTCTCTTGAAGTAGCTTACAAGGATCAGGCAAATCGGTTTTGTTCCACCTGTCACTCTGACACCCCACTACAAACACATCATCTGCAGCACTCTGGTCTGTGCTGCTGTCAGCTTTTGTATTCAGCAGCAGCATGTCGAGCCAGCCGAGCAGCTGGTCTAGGCGAGTCGCGTTGGCCGGTAGAGTGGCCCGCTCGATACATTCTTCCCGGCTGACCTGAAATTCGTCAAGCTTGGGAAGGGTCTCTAGAAGATCCAGAGAAGAGTTGTATGTGGCAACGAAGGTTGTGTTTTTGGCCATGAAGAGGGGCTGCACGGATTGGTAGACTTGCTGCCCTCCAAGGTCGCGGAATGTGATGACAGTATAGTCGGGCGTGTTGGCCCGGTCAGAGATGTACTTTACCCGGTCTGCGTTGAGAAATCCTGTGATGGTCTTGTGGATTTCCTCGCGCATTGCTGGTTTGTCGCTGCTGCTGCTGCTGCTGCTACTGCTGTCCTCCATAGGTCCTGCATGGGTCCCAGCCACAGGATCCTCTCCTGCAGTGGCTCTCTCTCTGTCATCTTGTGTTGTCTCTTTGTCTTGGGGATGATTCGAAGTGGATGGTTTGCACATCATGGTGATGACGTAGAGTCGACTCAGAGCATCTGGCATGTCTGGGCATTCGATGAATCGACAGTCATCAGAGATGTTTGTAGTTGTGTAGGACGTGCGCATTCCGGGCGTGCTGAGTTCATTCTCATTGTGCATCTTCTCAAGCAACGCCTTCAGCAAGCTGGTCTTTCCAACGCGTGCCGCACCAAGTATTGCCACGTGCAGGAAATGTATGACGGTCGTACCGCCCAACCGGGCTGCCTCCTGCTCTGCTGCTTCGAGCTCACTGATACTTGGCAGAACAGCAGTATCTCCTGGGCACAACGATAAGCACAGCACACATCAAAAAATGTTGTAACTGCAGGTGACATTTACAGTTTGTTGTTTCTTTTGTATTACTAACAAGAAATCATACAGTACAGGCAACAGGAATGCAAAACAAGTGAGTCTCACTTGTTTTGCATTCCTGGGTTCGCAGCCAACCAAGCACACAAAATTCCAAACTTTTTCCAAACATTTTCCAAACCAATTTCAAGAATTTCCAAACCCACTCGTGCAGGAAAAATAAATTATAAATCTCTTCTGCACGACTGTCTTCTCCACTACGAGTACAACCAGGGAGTAGTAAAATCCTCCCTGGTACTACCATCAACAAATTCACCAAGATGCATTGCGATGATATCGCCTTCAGCAGCTAGAGCCCCTGAAAATAGCAGGGGAATTCATACGACGAGAGTTCCCTCCGTAAGTTCAAATCCGCCTCCAGAGGTGGTTCCAATGAAACATTTACATAGCAGGTGTCCATCTCAGCGCAAAAGACGGCTTCATCCTCGCCAGCAAACTCATCTGAGTGCGAAAGGACCTCGCCATCCTGCTGTCCCGACTTCAAAGAATCAAAGTGGAGCGCGAGCGCCAGTAACAAAAAAAAACGGCCAAATAAAAGTCATCACCGGCCGCGCTTGAGCTGCACTGAAATGACTGTACGAGACTCGTACATGCAGTGAACACCACGCATCGCCAGCGCGTCTTCTATCGCGGCACTCAAAACCGCCACTTGCATGCAGTACTGCCAGCATGCAGTGCAGCACATCTGCGGCCAAAAAATCGAAATTCAAAACTTTTTCCAAACTTTTTCAAAAGGAGCGCCTTTTCAAAACTTTTTCCAGACCTGGAAAATTGAATTATAAAATCCAAACTTTTTCCAGACTTCCAAACTTCGCTGCGAACCCTGTGAGAGTGCATCCTCACTGCATGCACTCATATTATGAGAAAGCCCGCTTGACTCGCAATGTTACGGTGTGTCTGAAAGTCATTGCTTCTCGCACAATAACCACTCCATCACCAGAATATTGGCAGACAGGAGACACCTGTTATGGTGTTGCTGCAGTTGAGGCACTGGGTTTTAGAGTCCAGGGGCGTCACACATGGTACCACCAGTACCACCATGCTTGTACCACTTTTCGCACCGGATGCTGCGCCCAATTCATCCAAAAAACAAGCAATGAAAGAGCACTAAAATGTGCCCTGTTCACCCAATAATCACTATTTTCCAGTGTTGCAAAGAATAGCAAAATCACCAACGAATATTCTAACAAATATGCACAGTACGAACGAATATTCTACTTTTCTACCCATACAGACGAGCCCATTTCAGCACACTATGCTTCCTTGTTTATTTGAGCCAGCGCGTGCTAACACATGACCACAGCTTTTGTGGAAAAAGTCGAGAAAATCGCGATTTGAATTCCGCGACAAAAAAATGCAAAGTTCTCCTCGGTAGACTGGACTGTTCTGGATGTAACTCTTTGTTGCAAGTACATGAAAATTTATTCGTTTCAGTTTGGAGTCTCCTAAAATGGATCGTCAACGATGTATCGAAGGAAGAGCCTAATATACTTCGGAGCGGAAGAAGACGACATCCTCGCGTTCCATGCGCAGGATGAACTATTTTGTGGACTTGCGTCGGAAACAGAAGTCTCAAGTCTCTCAAACTCTCCCACGTGGAGCTAGCTTTACGATCCGACATCACGAATTTCTACTGACTCGAAACTAAGCAAAGCGGACTCATACGATTCGAAACTAACCAGGAACTGCTACAAACTACGAAGAAGAACATAAGTATTTCTTGCGAAGGTGCAAGCTACAAACGGCACGTAAGTCAAACTGGGCAGCAGCAGCGGCAAGCGACAATATGTTGACGGTGTCGTTTGTTGCTCAATTGCAGTGACTGTTGCACATTCTACGATGCAAGAACGCAGCGAGCGTGCTGCGATGAGCGAATTAAGCCACTGTACGGAAAGTTGTACACAAAGTGTAGCATTTCGAACATTCGACTTCTGACTCGCATGTTCGAATATTCTGTGCAGCGCAAAAATCGAAGATATTCAGTTATTCGAATATTCGCTGCAACACTGCTATTTTACCCTCGGGCTTTTTTGATGCCATTCAACGAAAAGTGTAGTGGATAGTCACTACTGGAGGGTTCATAAAGGCACATCTGTCTGTTGTGAAGTCGGGGGTTTGCCCCGTACATTGAATTTTGCATGGCAAGACAAATTCGGAAAATGCAAAATGTAACTGTTTCCCATGCCCCCTCCCCCTACTATTTTGACCTGGCTAGAACCTTGCCATCATATCTTCATGCTAATGGTACTACTTGGGGACATACAGCTCTATTGCTTCCAACTGGACATTTGCTTCGTTAGTTGCTGCTCATCATGAGCAATTTGCTGCTAGCGGCCTAGCATTGCTTGCCAGCTCTTCGAGCTCTTGCATTACGAGACCAGTTACTCAAAGTAACACATTGTCTCCAAAGCCAGTCGTTGTTGCCCTGACTGAGTGTGAATATGTGAGGGATTGGATGCTAAATAGTATTCCAACCAGTGATGCACACTAACCCAGTTTTCAAGAACGAATACTCTATCAAATATCAAATCTTTCAACCACGAATATTCTAGTATTCGTTGAAATTTGTTGACGGCCCAGAAACTTCCGCATTGCGTCTGCGCTTTTCGCCTGGGACACCTTCGCATTCGTGGCAGCTACAGCCGTCGAGCAAGTAACATGCCATCGGGGAAGATTTTCCCGCGTTGAGCTCGTAGCCGAGCCATTGAACTCGAGCTTCGTCTCGCAGAGTTTGCATTCAACGTTTGCGCCTCCATCAACTTTCTCGGAGTGCTCCTAAACGGAGCTGCTACGACCAGCTGTGCCAGAAGCCATCACAAAAAAACAAACTGGATGTCCAGGCGGTTCTTCAATGTGAAAGAGAGGGGTGAGTTGGACCGAACTAAAGTAGTAAAGAAGAAGGCATTATGGGTTCCCACTTCGCAACAGTACAGTGTGTGTACTGTACTCGTACAACTACACGTGTCCTTTGCAACTGTACTACAGTGCCGCCACTGTATTGTTACTACTACTAACTGTTTGGCGCGCGCTCACACAGGCCGGATTCGGCAAGTACACGTACGGTAACCGCTGAACTGTAATCTGTAGCACACGGCTGTTTTTTTGTGCGATTTCACGCCACTTTACAATATGGCCGCCGAAAGTCTCGATCGGGCTTCAATGGCAAGAAAATTTGAATTTTCAAATCGCCAGAACACAAATAGGCCATGGTTTCCCGTGGATTTTGGTGACTGGTTAGCCCAGACAGCCTTGGGAACACACTAATCACGTGCGTCTTGTTTCAAGCTTTCCGCTCGTACCTCACATGCCTGCCTTTCCTTCAAGAAACATTAGTTCTGCGTCGTGCAACTTTCGCGTCACTCTGAAGAACTCCTTGTGTCGTCGCTGTCAAACTCGGCCCCGAGAAGCCTTTCCTGGATTTTTTCCAGGCTAGATTGCGATTTTCCCAGGTAGAGGACTATCCTCTGGTTGTCTTCCCTGAGTGTCGTTGTTGTTCGCGCATGAACTTCTGAGTTCGCGAGGCGGGTCAGGAACCTACTTTCTAATGATTCGGAAGACAAATGGCATGGCCCTTTAGTTGCTGTTGAGTCTAGAAGGCTGCTTCCTGCTGTAAATTGCTTAGTTGGAATGTGGGATATTGTAGAAGAAGACAGCAGCCGGCCAAGTGAGCTGGAAATTGTGATATCTCTCCTATTATGCGTTGAACGAGTACGAAATGTCCAATTTGAATATTGTACACGCGCGCGCACGCCAAGCAGAGGCCGATAATCACATGGCCGGTCAATCTCTGGACTACCAGGAGTAGTTTTGAGCAAGTTTGAAGCGGAAAGACAGTTAACTGGGCAGGCCAGGACGCCTTCCCACCCTTTTTCTCTCTCAAATTACCTAAAAGTCGAGTATCTCGCTCAAGCGCTTTCAAAACTTTTTTCTTGGATTCGCTTCCCAAATCGTGAAACCTCGCGAGGAGCGACATGAGTTTCTTCCAAAAACGCAAACTCATCGCGTATTTGCACTATTCGTACAATGTTACATAAATCGCACGGAACGACGCCATATTTATAAATGCCTGTGCTGGCACAGCCGTGAGCAGCGGCCATAGCTCTACTGCCGTTAGCGCAGGGTCCACATGCACTCGTGCAAAACTAGCATGCATGCCGCACATAGAACATGATTGTGCAGCTCTTCAAACCAACTTTATTACTATTCGACTATTCGTGTGCATCACTGGTCATGACTTGTAACTTTTTGGCGGAAAAGAAGTTTGAGAATTGATTTGTCACTTACCTGCCTGCAGCTGCTTGGTCTCCTTCATAGAGAGTCAGAAAAAACAGAGGCACAAATCACACATATGTGTTTAACATGCTCTCTCTCTCTCTCTCTCTCTCTCTCTCTCTCTCTCTCTCTCTCTCTCTCTCTCTCTCTCTCTCTCTCGCTCTCTCTCTCTCCCTCCCCCTCCCTTCCTCCCTCTCCCTCCCTCTCCCTCTGTCTCTGTCCCTGTCCCTGTCTCTGTCTCTCTCTCTCTCTTCCTTAGTTCCGTATCGTATTTTCCGGAACATAAGCCGCAATTTAAGCACTCGTAATCCCCCCCAAAATAAATGTCGGTGTGGCTTCTACTACCATGGTGAAATGAACTGTGATATACAGGATAGATGTTGGTTTTTCCTCACAAAGATGACAGGATAAAGATGACAGGACAAAGATGACAGGATAAAGATGAACCTAGAGGCGACGAGATGAACAAGGCACTCACGGCACAGGGTAAGCCCGAATTTTCTGGTTTCAGACCGTGTTATATTTTGAAAATACCAGGGGATTTCCCTTTAGCACGGGGCACGCCTGATGGGCATAAACAAAGTGCATGGACCTCAGCTTTTCAGAGCAGTAAGAATCGTGAAAATCGGTTGAGTTTGAGCAAGAAGCTGAAAAAATGCTAGATTGAGTTGTTGTGGCATTTCCAAGGCATGATAGGAGAGTTTGTAAAGGACATGGAAGTGGCCCTGATGAGCCTATCGAGCTGAGAGTTGTCAGGATGGATTTGTTTGAAATTGTGACATGCATTATACAGTATGACAGGATATACAGGCAGGAGCTGTGTAGGCTGAATTTTAATGGGGCCGAAAAGGATTTTGGCCTGCGGATGCTGAAATTTAAAACGTGCTGATAATTTGTAGACTTACAGTATCCAGTGTCCAGTATCACAGTAGTAGATATCAAACTCAACTCACTTACTAAAGCCACAAGTCGCAAAGATACTCAAGACAAGATGCAAACTGGAATAATTCACTGCAGCTGGTTGTCGTCGCAGTGATTTCCAAGTGTCCATTGTACACAGCACGTCCAGCATAGTGCTTGCATTTAGCTCCAACTCTGGCAAAAGAGCGACAGGTGAAGCCCTATCCATTTATCTGCTGGGCCGTGCGGATACGACTTTGAGTTTGGCATGGGAGTGGCTACACATTTCCCCTGTTACTAGTGCAGCAGTTTTGCCGTGCCCATCATCATCATCTTAACCCCAGTTGTCGTTCAGGACCGTACGTGTTCGTCGTATCAGTGTTGAAAGAGCTGGGTGGACGAGATGGCCCATCTGCTATGCGGGCCAGAGCAGTTCGTTAGAAATCGTGGCCACCGTTATCAGAAATCTCGGGGGCAGTTCCGAATTCACCTTGCGTCTCCAAAGCAGACTTGATAGCGTAGCTGATCATCCGGAAGACCATTTATCAGTCGGGATGATACTTGTCCATTGGATCACTGTTGGCAGAGCAGCTGTTGCTACCGCCGAGGGGACGAGACGCCCCAGCTGCTGCGCGGGCGTGCGGTGGGGAACATTCGACATACCACGTAACCAACGGAGAGCAGTTTTCAATGCCTCCGAATTCTGACTACCCACTACAAGGTGCATTGGTGCACCCAGCCCCGCAGGTTCTGACACCACTGTCGCCTGTGGGTGACATCGAATAGCGGCAGCAAATTGCTTTCTGTTGATATGGTTGGTCATTACTCACTACCTACCCTTGCCCCGCCGGGGGCAAGTCATTGTTGCCGGGTGCACGCACGCATTCATGCCGACGTATCTGTGCCTGCCATGCTAATCTTTCTGTCAAGCATGTGTTGAACAAAAAATGCCTGCCTGCTCCTTTTGAGGCCCGATCAGTGCATTACGGCTTGTGCTTCCATTTGCTCCGCAGTCACTACCGGCCTCTGCACTCGCTGGTCGACGCTTTGTTCGGGAGTCTAGTTTTGTTTGCATTCAGCATGTCATTAACTATTCATTCGCGTGGTGGCCGCCCGCGTCAACTCTATGGTTTGCTGGCCGAGAGTGAGATCGCACCTCAATATGGTGATAAGACGCTGTACATCTTGACGCTATGCACATAACATTGTCTCGCCAGGACTGCAGTATGCTGGCTGATAGCGTGGGCAACCCACCCTGTCCTGGATTGACCATCAGTCTACTACCGTCGCCTCGTTCAGTGTTACCTGGGCCCTTCTCTTTTTGGGGAAACTTGGCCAACAAACGCAATGTGCTCAAAGGCTCGCTGACAATGTTGTGCAAGTTTGCGCCAACAACCGCCACGCGTCCCACCAAGATAAATCGGGCAGGAGGAAAGTGCTCTATGGCTTGGATCCCCAGCTTGCACGTGCATACGCACCAGATGTGATCTGGAGGCGCATTATGCATGGCTCAGCGCCGGGCAGGCTAGTAGCCAATAGAATGAGCTAACCTGGAACTGATGGCCAACGTTTGCGCTTTCCCAGGCCAGTATCAGTGCTAGTGATTGGTATGTGGGCCCACGCCAGCATCTTAGAGCAGTGTGAGTGCGTAGTCCGCAGGTATGGCAGTGGTGAGGATATGGACGTGTGCTGCGTGCTGTACATATGTGGATGTGCACGTGGCAGGCGCGTATGCTATCGTGTGAAGTGATGGATGGGGTGCAGAAGTACGGGTGGTGAGAGTGTGTGGCTACTGCTAGAGTGGCTAAGGCGAAAGCAGCCATCAGGGCGGGGCAAGATGGCCTGTTCGCTGGTACGGTATGTGCTTTTCTAGGCCGACAAGCTGTATGCGGTGTTGGCGACGATCGGGCCAGTAAGTGAGCTCACACGAGCAGCTTGTGGTGGTCTACGGGCATCTATTCTCTGTCACATGAATGCGAGGCGGTCGAGAGAACGCTGGTGTGTGCTTATGAAGGTGTGTGCGGGGTGGTGTGTGTGTGTATGAGCGTTCTTTGCGAGCTTGTATGAGGTTATATGCCTGTGTAGGAAGAGAATATACGGATGTGTAAGAGGCGAGAGAGTTTTCGTGAATACTGTGAAAGCCACAGTTTATACTGCTTTGCTAGCCGGTACCGTGTACCCTGGTCAGAGCAATTCATGAGGTAGCGGCGGCATCATATGATTATGCATAGGCATAATGCTGAGGGTACAAATACACCTTCCGTAGTGGGGGTGCCATGCCTTCTAGGTTTATCACTTTTTTGGGTGCAAGCGGGCATCATATCGTATGCGTGTGGTGTGACGCCTAATGCCAGGCAGTTGTGTGAGTTCTTGGCCTCGGTGGTCGTTCGTTTGCCCTCAATGGGCAGTATAATTTCGGCCCTAGGGGCAGTATGCTTTTCCCTTGGCGGGCAGGTTGTCGGCCTCGGTGGCTATTCGTTTGCTCAATAGGCAGTATGATTTAGCCCTCGGTGGGCAGTATATAATCGGCCCATGGTGGGCAGCATGCTTTGGCCCTCGGTGGGTACTACGCTTTATCCCTTGGCGGGACGTTTGCTTTAGCCCTCGGTGGGCAGGCTATTGGCCTCGATGGCCGTTGTGCACCCTCGGTTGGGCGGTATGCTTTAGGCTTCGGTAGGCAGGTTGCTGGCCTCGGCGGCCGTTTCACACGCCCTCGATTGGGCTTTACGCATATTCTTGAACCCTCGGTCGGGCTATAATCATGCACCCTCGGTGAGGCTATAACCATGCGCCCTTGGTGGGGCTATAGCCATGCGCCCTCGGTCGGTCTATGCTATAATCATGCGCCCTCAGTGGGGCTATAATCATGCGCCCTCGGTGGGGCTATAATCATGCGCCCTCGGTGGGGCTATAATCATGCGCCCTCGGTTGGGCTATAATCATGCGCCCTCAGTCGGTCTATAACCATGCGCCCTCGGTGGGTCTATAATCATGCGCCCTCGGTGGGTCTATAGCCATGCGCCCTCGGTCGGGCTATAATCATGCGCCCTCGGTCGGGCTATAATCATGCGCCCTCGGTCGGGCTATAGTCATGCGCCTTCGGTCGGGCTATAGTCATGCGCCCTCGGTCGGGCTATAGTCATGGGCCCTCGGTCGGGCTATGGTCATGCGCCCTCGGTCGGGCTATAGTCATGCGCCCTCAGTCGGGCTATAGTCATGCGCCCTCGGTCGGGCTATAATCATGCGCCCTCGGTCGGGCTATAATCATGCGCCCTCGGTCGGGCTATAGTCATGCGCCCTCGGTCGGGCTATAGTCATGCGCCCTCGGTCGGGCTATAGTCATGCGCCCTCGGTCGGGCTATAGTCATGCGCCCTCGGTCGGGCTCTAGTCATGCGCCCTCGGTCGGGCTATAGTCATGCGCCCTCGGTCGGGCTATAGTCATGCGCCCTCGGTCGGGCTATAGTCATGCCCCTTCGGTCGGGCTATAGTCATGCGCCCTCGGTCGGGCTATAATCATGCTGCCTCGGTCGGGCTATAATCATGCGCCCTCGGTCGGGCTATAATCATGCGGCCTCGGTCGGGCTATAATCATGCGCTCTCGGACGGGCTATAATCATGCGCCCTCGGTCGGGCTATAATCATGCGCCCTCGGTCAAGCTATAATCATGCGGCCTGGGTCAGGCTATAATCATGCGCCCTGGGTCGGGCTATAATCATGCGCCCTTGGTCGGGCTATAGTCATGCAGCGGGCAGGTTGCTGGCCACGTCGGCCATTTGTACGCCCTCTGGTCTAACATCAAATACTATTATATTTAAAATCTTTAATCAAATTGAAGTCATGGCAACCCCCAAACCTATGTGTTGATTGCTTGTGAGTGCGTGCGTGATTACGTCGTTGTACGCACAGACGGGGCGTGGGATTGTCTGCAAGTATGTTTGTGCACATGAATGTGTGTGTGTGTGTGTGTGTGTGTGTGTGTGTGTGTGTGTGTGTGTGTGTGTGTTTGTGTGTGTGTGTGCGTATGCAGAGGTATGCCCGCAGACCTGGGTGTGTACCCGTGGGCTTGGGTTTTTAATTCTTAAATTCCCGTTTGAAAAAATATCCCACACACTACATTTGCAGCGTGCACTTT